GGGGGGGGGGGGGGGGGGGGGGGGGGGGGGGGGGGGGGGGGGGGGGGGGGGGGGGGGGGGGGGGGCGCATGGAAACTCATCGGCCATTTGAAACAACAGGAGAAAAAAGTAAGATTGTTGGGCAGAGCCCAAGCAATGAGTTGGAGCAAGTTATGGGTTGGAGGGTCGATCACCAAAACACCCTGAGCGTCGCGTGTGTACGCTTAGTCTGATGGGAGGAGGGGGCAGGGCGGACTGATTCTCAACATGTGCGAAAAATGGTTTCACTTGTAACACAGAAAGCAAGTTGGCTGCTGGATCGCATTGTAAAGCAGGGATACCCACCACCTGTTTGTACCATCAGGCTCAACCCGACCTTGACTCTTGGATTTAACGACAGACTATTTGGAAAAGACAGCAATCGCCCAGAGTGTAGCGGGGTAAACCACGAGTTGGGCAGCAGCGCTGCGAGTATAGAGCACACCTTCTGCCTACTTGGCGATGTTGAGGGCTGGTGTGGTAGCATGGTCCCGCTGAGTGCGTGCTACAACGAAAAATCAGGGCAGAAACGCGTCTCAGATGCCCTTCCCTCTACGCGAAACTAGGTGACTATATGCCGTGGGTTGCCTAAGATATCACACCCCCCAGACCGATGTTCAAAGCTCCGTTTCTCCACCAAGGAGAGGATGATGACATCAAATCGCGTGTGTGTCACGTGTTCGGAAAGCTTTCGACGAGACGGTTCCAAGGCTGCCGTTTTCAGCAACGTCACCTTTTTTTCTTGCCGAGCACTTGAGCTTCGAAACCCGGTCTAGGGGGTGTGATATCTTACGTCACCTACGGTAGCAAAATGTGCCGTCTTCAACGCGCGAGCGTCACATCAAACAAACGCAATCGCCTTCGCCCGCAACGCGAGCATTGATGACCCCACGAGGAACTCTTTCTCGTCTTGCTATCTACCGCTAATGTTTTCCGGGCGTTAGCGAAGCCCAAACAGAAATTCGATAAAAGTTGGAGTGTGGCCCAGGGTTGGATTGGCTATACTACATGATCGCGGTGTGGGCTGTTCCGACGAGTAGCCCAACGTTTTCGTTAGTAGGTCGCGTCGAGGAGCATCATGCAGCAGTCAGGTAGAGCAACAAAAAAAGACCTGCAAGAACAAACACAGCATCAGGCTTGTTCGGCAAATGACACGAATGATTGTTGGAATACTACATCCTCGGCGGAAAATCCTACGCTGTATCTTACCCACTATTTATATATATAATAGGCCGTAGGCTCGACCATGGCTGAGAACAACGACACACAAGCCTGATGCACCGAAAGTATTTCCAAAAACATTCAGTCCATGGAATTCCCTCCCAAGGCCTTGCTGTATCCCAGTGCCCACTACAGCAGTACTAGCAAGAACCTTAGGGCCGGGTCCTGTTTTGTCTGCGGCTTTCCGAAAGCCTGTCCACTTGTATAGGTTTCAATGTACAACGAGTAGGTTCTTCCTGTGTACACAATTTTCGGTCAGCTGTCACGTCTCGCACCACAAGATTACCTTTTATGTCAATTTTCCGAAGTGGGAACGCGATTTCAAACTTTCTACTCCCCTTACTGCTGAACTGCTGTGTACATGAACCTTAGCTGGTATCATCTGTGTAGCTAAAGGAGGGGTCCCGCGTGGACGGGGGGGCGGTACTATGGAATATATCTTCGCAGGCTCATTTGAAACGGTTCAGTAGCGGCGTATCCACAGTCAAGTGTAACTCTTAATTCTCCCAGGCTTGGCGGTGTGTACACTGTGCAACGGAATCAGAAGCTTGGTCACCACGAGCTAGCTGTTGGTCAGCCAATAGGCATCTGCGTGACGGGTGGACGCCGGAACGTTGGAGGGGGGCTAAATAAAACATGTGCGACACATGTTCGGACGTAAGATACCGGGCACATGGAGGGTACGTATGTACGCAGGATCTGTCATGAAGCTGTGTACAACACAGCACCGGCGTGGGGCCTTGTATTCAATTTGTTTTGTTCAAGCAAAGCGACAGCCCAGCAGTCGTCTGCTTCTTGGCGGTCCGAGCCAATTCCGGATGCATCGTCTCGGCGGCAGCCGTGGGTGCTTTTGTGAATGCCATGTGCGCGCTCTGCCCCCCTCGCTCGGATGCAAGAAGAGACCAAAAATGAGATCAATTATTGTGCTCAACGGGCTACCATATGCAACCTCGCACGAATGATACACTTGTCAATATGCACCACCCGCGTGGTGGCAGTAGTCTCAGGCTGCCGGCCCAATTGCCCGAGAAACCAACGCTGCTCCCTCTGTGTGCTGTAAGACACAACGCACTGACTTACGTCCCTCACGGACACACACGAAGACGTACTTGCCAAAATTCAAAAAACGCATCGCTGCTGAGCAGCAGACACGGAGGAAGAAGAATTCCCCGTCACCTGGATGTGCTGCGATCGCGCCGTCTGGCCCGACGGCTTTTGTCCTCGTGGCCCTTTCGCTTTCGCCTCGGCGCCGCCGCGGCTGGAGAACTCGACCTCGACCTCGAAGAAGACGTAGATCTCAACCGCTGTGGCCGGCGCCGGTGGCTGCTGCCGCCGCCGCCGCCGCCGCCGCCGCCGCCGCCAGGGTTTCTACAACTCTTGGTGGTCCTATGCCTCTTCGTGCTGCTCAAGGAAGACGCAGACCGCGACCTGCTGCTGCTGCGGCGCCTGCTACTACTGCTTCTCTTCCTGGGCGATCGCGACATCGATCCGCCGCCGCCGCCCCGCCGCCGCCGCCGCCGCCGCTGCTGGTTAAAGCGGCGGCTGCTGCTCTCGGCCGAAGAACTGTCGCCGCCGCCGCTGCGGGCGCCGCCGGGCGTGCCGCCGCCGGCTGCTCCTGCTGCTTTCGGGGAGAAAGGCGGTGCCTCTTTGCCTTCCCCTGCCGCCGCGGCTCGCCCACCGCTGCTGCTGCTGCTACTGTTACCGGTGCCGCGGTGAGTTCTCGGACCTCGGTTGGTCAGAGAGCGGCTCCTGCTGGACCTCCGCCCACCGCCGCCGCCGTTGCCGCTTCTGTCCTTCCTGGGCTTCTCGCGGCTCCTGCTGCGGCGACGCTGGTGATCACGGTCCCCGCCCTCCGCCTCCTCGCCACCTCCTCTGCTGCTGTTCCGCATACGAGAGTCGACGCTGTTGCTGCTGCTTCTACTGCGAGGAGCACGCCTGCTTCGGATGTACCCGCTCCCCCCGACGTCGTTGTCGTCGCTGCTGCTGCTGCTGCTGCTGCTGCTGCTGCTGCTGCTGCTGTCGCTCCTGCGGTCGCTCGTGGTGCTTCGCGCGACGTTCCTGTTGTGGTGCCTGCTGCTGCCGCCGCTCTGGTCGCGGAGCTTGCCGCCGCCGGCGTCGTCCCTGCTTCCCTCCGAGCTCGTGCTCCTCCGTCGCCTACTGTCTCGCTCGAACTTCTTCTTCTTCGTCTTTACGCCGCCGCCGCCGTGCAGCAGTCGACGGCCGAGCTCCTCCTCGTGTCGTTGTTGATGCCGGCTTCGCTCCCCGCCGCGGCCCATCCCTGCTCGAAAAAAAATTCAGGGAGTTGTTGAGGTGGATTGAGAGTTTGCTTGCTGATATAGAAAAGCCTGAGTAACCTGCTTGCACCCACCCTGCCGTCGTGTGGATGCCTACAGGAGATCACGCTGCAGTCGTGGTGACACGCGCCATGCTTCCCCCTTTCCGGGCGGGTGGGCGTTGGCGACTACAGGGTCAAGATACTGAGGGGGAGGGGACGACACGGCTCTCTCTCTCTCTCAGCGTTTACTGACCTCCTTCTCCAAAGCCTCGCTCTGCTCCGGTTTTCTTCACGCACTACGAGTCTCTTCCTCCTTTTCTTTAATAGACAGGTCCTCCGTCTTTCTGTCCTCTCTCTCTCACATAGCCCCACACGCACAATTTGGCTGTTCCTGGCAACACACGCAGACTTCCCTTCTCCCCCTCTGCTGCAGAGAGAGAAACTATCCCTATCTCTCTCAAGCCTCAACGCGCTGTTTTGTTGTCTTGCTTGGAGTTGGGTAAGCTGGTAGGGGGGGTATCGAGTATCAGCTGCGTGCTCCCTCCCGCAAGCAGAAAACGTGCCCCCCAGCCAGAGCAGACCGCACCACCAGCTAGCACCCACAGTAAGCAGCGGAAGATGGGTCAGCAGCAATCCACTAGCAACAGAAAACGGAGGAGGAGAACCACCGCCCTAGCAGCAGGTTTCGTTACTGGATCGAGTGGCAAGGTCGAGGAGAAATATTCAATCGACGTGAGTTGATCATGAAAGTGATGGATTTGATGCGGAACATTGACCTTGGGACCCACTGCTGTATTTCTCCACCTTTTTGTACAGCTCGAGCGCACGGCAGTGTTGTTTTTCAATCTTTTTTGCATACCATGCGACGGAGCTCTTGTAGTGTTGGGCCTGCCTGTCGGCAATGGGTGTGTCTCTACGCCCATCGTTTACCCATAGCTTTGTCGCGGGATGATGTGGAGAATCGCGTATTGTGCCGCTCGTTTCTTCTTGACGAACATTCCACGCGGGTGGAGAGCCAAGCAAAACGCAGCTGTCTACATATGACAGCGGTTTATGTCCATCAGCGCCGTTGGTCGCTACAGCACAACTCACATCGCCGCTACTGTGACGTGGCGTCCGTGTAGACATGTAACACTTACGCCGGACCACAAATAATTATCCGATAGGTTGGTTGGGGTGAACAATGGCTCTACCGCTCCCGGCAGGCATGTACAGCGCAGCGTAGACAGGGGTGCTGGCGTTTCGTACTGAAGCCCGCCTTGTCGTCGTACAATGCGTTTGTCATTGTACCGCGGACCAGCTGGCCACTCGCACCGCATCAGCGCAACAGGCAGCCGCATGGACACAAGCCTTGTGTTGTCGTGATTCGTGCCTACTGCTGCAGGTGTCACCCAGGTTGAAGTACAGCAGCAGTAGAGCCGCCCCTATGCACATGCAGGCATGTAATCTATCCGCCACAAGAAGACAAGCATACAAGTACTCTACGGGTAGTGCTCTGTAGGTGAAAGTGTGGGGGGGAGAGCGGTTCAGGGCTTTTATTTAACAACGCAGTCTTTTCCCCGTGCATATCAGCAATGGCAGCAATGACGTGATTCTCAGCGAGGGCGGTTGTTAATCTTCTCCTACAGTATGTGGCAGTTAGTTGTTAATTTGGTGTTGGGGAGGACACGTTGCAGTGCAGTTCTTTGCGCGCTTAGATACGAACGTTTGTGTTTCTTCGACTGAAAAGACGTCAGTTTGATTCATACAGCGGTGTGTTTGAGCACCAGCCGGGGGTGCACCAGAGCACAAGTCAATCAGCCATTCAGCAGTGGAGTGGAATTTATTTTCGTTGGCCATCCCCCCTGCGGTGCTGGCCATCAGCAGCTTCTCAACGCGAGAATATGCGAGGAAGGTTGCCTGGGGTGCGTCGTTGTGCCTCTTGAGTCTGGACCGTACAGAAACATGCTCCAGGTGTCCTATATAACGTCTTGTTGCTTCTCTGCAATCCTTTTCCTAAAAATAACGTACACGACGTGAGACATTTCCACGACCTCCTTTCGTGGTCCCCTCTTTCTTGTTGCTGGGATCGTTAGTGAGAGAGCTTTTGTTCTTTATGCTGCAGACAATCTCGAAGGGTCTATGGAAGAAGCCGAAATATGCATGCATCCATAAGATTAGTCAGCGCTGCCTATGTAGTCTAATGGCTTTATTTCGGCTTCTTCTACATAGGTCTTGTGCGACCGGCTGCAGGGTGTTGCCGGCATTAACGCCTCTCACCTCCCCCCCATACTTGCATTCGAATGTTTGAATTACGAGTACGATACACCTAATGCCATTCTATCCTTGCGCGAAAGAAGCAATGCATCTGACGATGCCAGGTGTTGATCCCGCTCGCTTCGATCCAAGGCATGGCGTACTTTGGCACATACCGCCACGGAATTGGTGTCAGTCTTATTGGTTCTCACCCGAAGTGATGCTTGTATGCCATGTGTACGGCGTCGCGATCCATTGTAAGCCGTAACATCCGAGCGGCGCGACAGGTGCCGCATCTCTTTCGGGTAGCGTTGTAACTGTCTACCGCAGCTCCGCATAGTCATCAAGCAAGCGACTAGGGTCGTATTCTAGAGTACCCGCTTAGAAACGACACCCTGTTCTTGCTTGACACGATTCATGCCATTCCGTTCCTTACATCTTGTCGTGCCGCAGCAGCAAGTATCGCACTGCAGTCACAGCTGCCGGCTCGACAAATGAATGCTGCCGGGCACTAGAAACATACAACGGTGTCTATCCACCCAGTCATAAGCTATTCCTCCGCACACCCCTCTTGGGCCGCCGCTCCTTGCCTACGACGGCGGCGCTTGCCCGACGACGCCATGCGAAACAAACAACAGCTCAAGCCGCTGGGCAGGGGCCACTACGGCGTAGTGAGACGGTGCATCAGCATCGAGACAGGGCAGCAGTTCGCCATTAAGACCATCAGGAAGGCGAGAGTGTCCCGGGTCGAGAGCCTGCTGCGGGAGGTGCAGATACTGCGCAAGGTCAGCCATCCCAACATCATCGAGCTGGTGGACGTGTACGAGGATGAGATGAACCTGCACTTGGTGAGGGGCGACGCACTCCGTCCGTAGGTGGGGGGGGTATCAGCCCGAAAGAAGCTTCTTCGTGGTACATGTTGGTTTCGTCGCCAGTTTCTGAGGAGGTGACCGACAGCTCTTAGGAAGGAAAGTGCCCTGTGCTTTGCGGCTTCTACTGTGTTCGTTTCGATCAACCATGCGGTATGATATGCTTCCGTGGTACGGTAGCGTACGCTAAGTTGGCCACCCTATCGCGGCACTGCTGCTGCAGGACGTTGGCGCTTGTGCGACTGGGCAAGAATCCGGGTTTCCGGTGTTGTGTCGTTATCCTTCCTGTGCCTACCAGCGTAATATCGGAACTCCGCATTGTTTAGTACGGCGGTGTTTCGGGCCCCCTACAGTTTGACGTCACCGACTCGCTACACATGTACGTTGGGTGGGTATTGCACCCATGGTTGTACAGCAGTACAGCTTGTGCCGTCGCTTCAAACCTAGAACCCTGGAGCGAAGCACCCTGGGGCCCGATTGGATTATTTTCAATATTCATGGACTTGAGCACTTGGTACTTGTTTATTTAGTAGTGGTCTACGAGAGATGCACAAGATCTGGCCTATGTACCTATGCATGAAATATGTCATGGTATCGATCGGTGTGCACACAGCATCCAAAGAGGGTACACGGGTTCTCGAGACTACTCTGGTGGGTGTTGACGCCTGGCGTTCCGGCTGGCGTTTTTGTCGGTCGGCGACACTTGCGACCGTTCGGCGAGGCCCCAGGTTACCGAGCTCTGCACCGGCGGCGAGCTGTTCGATCGCATCCTCGAGAAGACCGAGTCTGAGGAAGGGAGGTACAGCGAGCGCGACGCCATGACGCTGGTGACCAAGATACTGTCGGCGATCGCCTACTGCCACGACGAGCACAACATCTGCCACCGGTGGGTGGGTAGGAGGGGGAGGAAGAGGAGGAGGAGGAGGAGGAGGAGGAGGAGGAGGAAGAGGAGCTGGAGGAGGAGGGTGGTCGTTATTGATGTTGTTGATGTTGATTGTGGCGGCGGCGGCAGCGGTAGCGGCGGTGTGTGGTTTTGACTGGCTGCTGATGCTATCTACCAAACCGGCACTTTTGGTTCCGGCAAGTAGTTCAAGACTCTCTAGCCCCACACGTACAGTGCACCAGCAGTTGGCGCCCGAAATCAACAACAATTACGTTGAGAAAATGAGGGTCATGTTGTCGCGAAAATTGAGAAATTGAACCTCGACTCGAAATTGACGCTTGCCTTGGTGTCAACTCTGTGCTAGTGGCGCTCCTACTATTTCGAAGCGGCGTGCACTTATCATGTTTGATGATGCCCCCTGACTTGTCACAATCCTCGGTTTCCAACTCTTGGTGCCTAATGTCGAGAGGCTTGCCTTCGTCTCCGGCTTCCTTTCGCTCTGTAATAGCACCTACTCGCTGCTGCTGTGTCGGTTGATGATTCGCCCCCGCACGCGCAGGGACCTAAAGCCCGAAAACTTCTTGTTCAAGGACAAGGCCGACGACTCAGAGCTCAAGGTGCCTCCTTTTTGGTTTTTGTTTTCTAAGGCGTTTCTGCTGTTGTGTTTTGACCGTGTTTTCTGCCAAAACGGTTCTCTCTCTCTCTCTCTCTCCCTCTCTCTCTCTCTCTCTCTCTCTGGCATAGCGTGTTATTGTCGTCGGCGAAAAGCCCAGGTGTATCAAGGTACTGCTATCATCGCTATCTTAACGTCGAGGTTTTGGAGTGTCGTAGACCTAAAAAAACGAAAACACCTTGTTGAGGTACGTGGTCGGTACAGCAAAAACAAAACGGGAGTCACCCAGCACACCCCGTATTTGAAACAAATTTTCTGCTGCGGTGCGGAAACGGCCCGTCTCGTCTCGGTGTTGATCCGTACGGTGGTGGCGCCTGGCCTGTTGTGCAATGTTAACGTGTTCCAGATCATCGACTTCGGTCTTTCGCGGTTCGAGGAGACCAACCAGATCATGACCACAAGGGTGGGCACTCCCTACTGTGAGTTAACTCTAGTTAAATTTATGCCCATCTACATTCGGCGACTGCACCAGCTACGCCGCAGTAGCGTGGATGAGAGTAAGATGCCCAGCGCCATCATCTCACCGCAAGAGTTGCACCGCTTCCGGTGAACGATAACGACGCCGTCGATCGATAAGTATTCGACGATACGACAGGCGTGCATACGATGCCATCGAAGAGTAGTCTTGGTCCGTAGTCATGCATGCGAGCGCGCCATGGACAAGGAAAATGGTACAAGTTTCCCTTCGACTTCCGTTTGTCATCTTGTTTTTGTTTTTTCGCTTATGTAAATGCCCCCCCCCCGCCTCTACCGGCGCGCTCGGTCTCTACGTATCCTTTGAAATACATAGCTAAGAACACCCTCGCCACAGTTTTGGCCACAGAAAACACACGCCTACAGTACCCCCCCCCCCCCCCCCCCCCNGATGTGCGAGCCTGGTCCGTTGAGAGAACCCGGCGTGCTCCGTCCCGGCTTTGAAGGGATGCGAGTTCAATGGTCTGACGACTGCGGCATGCACGACTGTGAGTACGCACACACACCCTCCCGCTATTCAGCATCCTTGGGAGCCATGCTAATCGGATCCATCGCATGTCGCCGCCGTCGTCTTCTCTCGTTGCTTGCTCAGACATTGCACCGGAAGTGCTCGGGAGAAGCTACAACAAGGCCTGTGGTGAGTTCGCATGTACCGCGGCACCACATAGGATATATCACGACAGTGGTTCGGGGCAGCGAGGGGACGGGCGCCTCCCCCCCGAAACCTGCTATCCGCGGACCCCCCATTTGCCCTGGAGCAGTATGGTCGCATGGTGGTGCTGCTGCTGCGCCGCGTTTCTTTTTTTTTTCTCCCATCATCGGACTCTGTCGTCTGCCGCTCTGGCCCCTATCCTCCACTTCTACTCGCTAGACGACCCAACCGGGGTCACACAGGAGGGGGGGGTTGGACCCCCTCCTGCAGTTCCTGCGTGACATATGTTTATCGCGAGAAGGGTACAGCATCCCTTCCCTCGCGACTTACGAAGTCGATTATGGTATACTAACAACGAACTCTGCAGCGCGTCGCTTTCATCCTAGATCAGGATTTAATTTGCGAGAAAAAACTCAATCTGCCGGGACTCGAACCCATGACCTGGCCCTTTGCAGGCTGCGAGGGTACTCACTAAACCACCGGGGCAACCGGTACGTACGTAGCACGACAGTAAGCCACCCTTGCACGACCGATCTTTATCTATACGATTGTGGTATTGCAAACAAGCGCCGCCGCAAAACAACACGTACCAGCTACAGGAATGGATAGATGACCAGCTCCTGGTCCATCCTTCCTCACGAAACGTAGCCTGGGCCGGCCGGCGAACACCCATTCACATAATCGCTCCGTCCCGCCAATGCGACAGTCAATGGTCTCACGACTTTCGTTTGCACGTCCCCTTGTGGAGATGCGAGGTCAATGATGTAACGACTACGGCATGCGTTTTCATGAACACGCCCCCTCCTAGATAGGGACTCGAGGTCAACGGTCTAACGACGACAGTACGGCATGCGTGTACACCCCCTGGCTGACTACCTCACGGCGCTTCGCGCTTGGTGATGTGAGAGCCTGGTCCGGTGGGCACCCGGCGTGCTCCGTCCCGGCTTTGTAGGGATGCGAGGTCAATGGTCTAACAACTACGGCATGCTCGACTATGAGTACCCCCCCCCCCTGCTCCTCCCTGCCCCCCCGGCCTGCCCAGACCTGTGGTCGATCGGCGTGATCGCCTACATCCTGCTGTGCGGCTACCCGCCCTTCTACGGCAGGACCGATAAGGACATCTTCGCCTCGGTGTCGAGGGGACAGTACGACTTCCCAGGTCCGGAGTGGGATACCGTCTCGGACGATGCCAAGGCCTTCGTGGGAAAGCTGCTCATGCTTGACCCGGCGGAGAGGCCCACGGCAAGCGAGGTGGGTGGATCATTCCCTGGTGCGGTTATTGAGATGACGAGGGGGGGCGGGGGGCGGGGGGGTTCTCTTATATTTGTATGCCTCGGCGGTTAGACCATTGACCACGTGCCTTCGAGAGAACGGAGTGTTCTTCCCAACAGGACCGATCACCGATGGCCTGTCGTTCCTCCCTACTTGGCCAAAGGTGGCTCGAAAGTGTTTCCCTTGCCTACAGCTATACTGTCGATATCACTTCCAGCCTTTCAACCCACTTCCTATGCCTCGGTACAGCTACCGTCTTCTCTTGGCCATTCCATGCCTCACATATCTCCCTGGGGGGGGGAAGGAGGTACTGATAGCTGTGCATGACGTAGTCCTTAGACCATTGACCTCTGGAGAGGGCGGGGGGGGTCATGGATATCTAAGCGTTTCTGAATCAGGTTTGGGAGGCTTTGTTTGTTTGGGATGCATTTTGTACCCGTGTTGGCAGTTTTATGTTTTGCTGTTGTTAGGGTTCAAGGGGGCGAAGAAAACGAACTCCCGACGCTGCTGCTTGCACGCCTAGGGTGTAGATAGGGGATAGGGGTCATGGCCGTGACTCCCGGGGTCCCGAAAAATGGCAGGCTCAGATTAGGTAGGTCAAGGTTTTGCTGCCGCGGCTGATTGGTCGTCAAGGTCAGTTCCAGCAAAACTACGAACAAAAATAACAGTTTTCACGGCAGCGTAGAACGAGGGATCACGTGGGGGTAAACAAACTTAGTATGCACACCGTCATCCGGGAGACGTTAAAGTTACCGTGGCTGATTGGTTCTGTCCGGACGAAGGAAGAAATGGTTTACTACTGGAGGGTAGAACGACATAACATGGGGTACATAGACTCTTTTCATGGACACACCATTATTCTGGCAGGCAATGAAGCTGCCGTGGCTGATTGGTTCAGGCCAGACGAATAAAAAACAAGAATAGTTTTCACGACAGCGAAGAACGATATGAATTGGGGTAAACAAACTCACGTCATAGAAATCGTTACATGTCCTGCAGCCGTTAAAACTGCCGCAATAGCGTGGGGTAGACAAAACTCAACATGGGCACCGACTGTTTTTTTTTCCTACAGGCGTTAACACTACCGTGGCTGCACGTCCTCGACGACGAGGCAGCAGAGTCCGCCACGGTGGAAGGGGAGCCAGGGGTCGCAACGACCACCACTGCTACCGCCGCCGCCGCCGCCGCGGTGGCCGCAAGAATGGATAAGCCCCTCCAGGTCAGCAGCAGGCTCCGGAGGTTCACGGGCATGAGCAACCTCAAACGGGCGGCTCTCAACGTCATCGCGAATCAGCTCACGGAGGCCGACATCGGTGGGTGTGTTGTTTGTTGTTATTTGCATCGGCCGCCCGCGCTGACCAACGAAACGACCGTCAGTCTCCGTGCGTTTCCAATACACGAAATGCTTCTGGAGGGTGTGATGGAGGGACCCCGTGAGGGGGCGTCATGGTTTGTGTGTGTGTGTGTGCTTTTTTTTTTATTAGCGTCGACCAACCGCGCTGACAAACGTAAAGACGTCAATCTTCGTGTGGTTGAAAACACAAAATTCTTCTGAAGGCCATGATGTTGGACCCCGTGAGGGGGCGTTACGGGGGGGGCTATGGTGCGTCTGTGTAAACGTGTGTTGCGTTGTTCACCTTTTTCGCCTTTTTCGCTCGCTTTCCTGACAGGAGGCTATTCAGATGGAGTTGGGGGGG